CCACCCACCCTTACAAAAACGCCCCCACCTTCCCGGCCCCCAGGTGTGCTGTACCCCTGGTTCCACGTCCAGCTGCCCCCCTGGGCCGCCGGCGGCTGCATGGTACTGAGCTCTGTGAGCGTTGTCCTGTCCAGCCTCATGCTGCGCCACTATCGCCCGCCGCGGCTGCCGCCGCTGCCGCTGGCTGGCGTGCGCGTGCAGCGGTGACGCGGGCCTTACCCCCCGTCCGCGCAGCTTGTGACTCTCCCAGTTGCGCAGCGGCCCAATTACGTTGCTGGCTGTGGCCGCCGAATTTTTGCGCCTGCAGCAACTGCTGCGGCCCTTGCAGCGCGCGTACTGCTCTGACGACTCAATTGCTGACCTTTTTGCTCATACTTGAACTGGCTGTCCCTACTCATCCCTCAAATGGCGCGCTGATCTCTCCCATACGGCGCACGCATGGTGCGCACGCCTGTTTGGTGCACGTTCCTTCCGAGGCTGCATTTACTGTTGCGCATAATCGCTCTTGAGCTCCAATTCACCCCCCCTTTCCAGCATTGTTTTGCGCCCCCGGGGCGCGTTGTCGAGCCCTGGTCGTCATCGCATGGGGGTTGGGAGGCTGCGCGGCCGGCCCATTTGGCGGCTGACCGGCGGCTGGGGTTGCCACTTGGCGCCGAAGTTGTGGATATACCCATGGCTTGAATTTTGTCGCCTCAAGGGGGAGGGGCTGTGACCCAACCAACATGCGACGCTGTGCCCCCTGCTGGCTCGTCACCCGCCCTGCCTGTGTGTAACTGAAAAGCAACGGATTGTAAGTCTACAGAACCTTTTATGTGCAAAGAAAGGGTCATCCATCCATCAATGAGGAATGCTGTCAAATCGCGAAACGCAGGGCGAAAACCAAGCAGCACCCTCACAGGCCCGGCCTGCTCAGTGTGCCCTGAAACAAACATGATGCAGCTGTGAGACCAATGCTGTCCATGGATACCAGGTCAAAAGACGAATATACAACCGACACTACATTTCCAAAACACAGGTCAACATCCTCCTCCTCGATACACAGGTCGACAGGCCCCTCCTTCAAAGCGGCCCCAAGGCTCATGCCTTGCGAAACCCCAATGCACGGCGGGGCGCTCAGCGCCACAGCAGCAGCCGCAGCGGGCCGCGCAGCAGCCGGGCCGCCCTGAATCCGAGCGACACCAGCACCGCGGTGACGAGCGCAAACGCGGCGATAGGGATGATCCACCCCTTGTAACCCGGCACCCGCGTGCGCCGCCCGGTGACGCCCACCATGGCGGTGACTTTGATGTAACCAATCATGAAGGCGAAGACGGCTGAGACCCCCAGCAGCAGCAGAAGCGTGAAGCAGAGGCCGTAGCGGGCAGAGCGGTGGCGCTCTTTGGCCTTGGCAGCGACGGACTGCGCGTTGGCGGTGCTGTCGACGAGGGCCGTTTCGGTCTCCTCCAACAGCTTGCCCCTGTGTGTGTTTGTGTGTGTGTGTGTGTGTGTGTGTGGTGGGTGGTGTGTGGGGGGGAGGGACGTGTGCCGGGGGCGGCCAGGCAGCATCACGTGCTTATATCACAACCTTAATCTGCGTGGGCAGTCGGAAAAAGGAAGAGGGCGCACGCCACGTTTGCATCGGCGTACGCCCCGCCTGCCTCTGCGGACAGGTCCTTTGTTGGTCCGCCGCTGCTCGCCTCCCCTGCAACACCGCGGTGCTCATTGTCGGCCCCGTCAACCTCAACACTGCACACTTGCGGTCGTCGCCAGGCTTCCCACACCCAACCTTGCCTCAACCTGCCTGTCACTTTAGTTTGCACTCACCCACCCCTGCTCATGCGAACACACACACACACACACACAAAAAAACATCAAACACACGTGTGCCCACCTGTAGCGGATCGCGTTCTGCATCGCCATCGCCCCGACCTTCATCTCTGCAGTCAGGTTGAGCATGTCTTCCGCCAGCTCATCCTGCAGCCGCTGCTGCGTCCGCACCCGCTCCCGCGCCGCCGCGCCGACACTAAACTGCGCCTGCGCCTGTGGCCCCGCGCCGCTGCCGGCCGCCGAGGAGGCGGAGACCGGCTGCTGCTGCTGCTGCTGTTGCTGGTGGTGCTGAGTGGAGGGCGGGCGGCGCGCAGCGTCGCTGGCGGCGGGGGCCGAGCTGTCGGGAGCAGGCACCTGGATTGGCCTGGGTGGCCAGCACGGGTGGTGAGCGGCGCAGCAGAAGCGCCAACCACGGCTAAGTTCAAAGCAACACAGCAGAATGCTTTGTACCAGATCTAGGCAGAGACGGCGCGCACCAAGGCGCAGCGCGACGACAGCACAGGGCGATAAGCCGCAGCGCCACCCACCCGACAGAAGCGCCCACGCCTGCGCCGCCCGCCGCAAGGCCCTTGCCTCCCGCCGCCGCGCGCCGGCAAAATGCAGGCAGCTGCTTGCGCGCGGCCGCGCGCCCAGTAGGGAGGCCATGGGATGCAGTCGGCGTCGTTGCGTGTAAGGCGCGGCTGATGCCACTGCGACAGCGCAGCTGTTGGACGAGCGCCGCGGGCACCCCCGCCCCGCGAGTGGCGCGCCGGCGGCGCCCGCTCGGCGCCCGTTCGGCTGCCGCTTTCTGCAGCCCCCACCCGCATGCACGGCGCCGCCTTGGTGTTGCCCAGGGGCGAGCGGCGGCAGGGCGGCGGCGTCTCGTGTGCCGGCTCACCTCTGGAGGCCTCAGCTCCCGTCCTATCCGCGCCACATGCTGCTTGTAGGCGGCCACGACATCCGGCCCGGGCGCGTCGGCGGGGGAGCCTTCCAGATCATACAATAGGTCCCGCAGCGAGTCGATGTACTGAGCTTGGGGAGAGGGGTAGGGGGCACGATGCAAGCGTGCCGGCGGGCATGGAGTGAGACTGAGGTGGGCGTGGGTCAACGGTAATGAGCAACGTGCAGGAAATGAGCAATAGCGATGCAGTCGAAGCGCACGCATGTCGCTCACGCAGTGGAACTTGGGGTCTGTCTGCCACGGCGCCGCAGCGCCCGGCTGGTCGCTCGCGCGCTGCTGCTGCGTCCGCGCCTCGCACAGGTGCAGCAGGCGGCGGAACCGGATCTCCAGCTGGCTGGGTCCCGGAGGTGGGAGATCGGGAAGCTCTAGTACGTCAATGGCCATGGATTCAGGGTCGATTGCGATAGAGTGTGGTCTCGAAATGCTGACATATATGGAGTTCAGATCAGCGCATCCGTTCTCCAAAGTTCAATTACCTGTACATTACCGAATTGACAGTATGTGATTGTACATATCAACCGATGTCTTGCGTTTCATGACATTTTGTTGAGGACGGTTCCTCCCTCCCAGCTCCCTCCTCTCTTGGTCTCGTTGCAGGGCCCCACAACACTGAAAAGCTACCATTACAATTCTATCATTAGGCAGCTGCACCTGTCATATAGCTCTGTGGACCAGGCAGCAACGGCGCGAGCGCGGGCACACCTCAACCAAAATACCGTACTCGATGCCATGCGTGTTCAGCACGTCTGTCAACAGTTATGCCTGCGGTGAAGAACGAGCTGAGTCAGTTCGTCAATCAGGGGTCTACAGCGGGGTAAGCAGCACCTGTGCTGCGGTGTACTGCCTTGACCGCGGTTGACTGGTGACCCATTGTCACAATGGCGGCGGCCGCACGGTGTGCAATGCTGATCAGTAACTCGAGATTTGGGCCAGGCTCTAGCGCACCTCTAGGAATACTGTGTCAGCAAACATATTTCATCGCAGATGCTGAAGCTAGGCGGGAGCGCCCCTAACAAAGCTGCCAACTTCATTGCCGGGCCTGCCGCCTCTGCTGTTGCACCGCATGTCGCTGCACCACGGTGCCCCCTTGAACCCCTGCGATCATTTGCATATGTGCACTTGCCACTGCACCGTCTCTCACGCGCGGCCAGAAGTTCTGCTGGCGGGCTTACGGGCTTGTTGCGGTGGCAAACGAACACACCACAGCACCACTTGCACCAACCCGATGAATCGCCTCATCCAAGCAACTTGCAGCAATCGACCTCCTGGCACTACTAGGACGCAACGCGTTGAACAATGTGACTCATGCTGTCCAAGGTTGTGCAGCTGGGCGACAGTTGCGTTGGTTGCAGGTGCGCGGGTGTGTTTCCTGAGGCGGGAGGCGCGGCCATGTAAAAGGGCGCGCCATGTCTCCCAAGTCTTGCTAGTAATGCGCATGAATATATCAGATCCAGAACACAAGGGCGAGCCTGGAGCACTGGGGGCCTGCAGCAGGTCTGTGGCCACCAGGGTGAGCAGAGGCTTTGGGCTTGGCGCCCGCCCATGATCAAAGTCAGGCCACCCAGTTGCACAAATTATATGAACGAAGGTCTCATGTTCAAGGTGGGTTGTAATGGGGGGGTGCGGTGCTGTGGGCCCCCATGTGCATGGCCACTCTGGTCAACGCGCGTTTGTGGTATGATGCAGCGCTGACATCAGCGCCCCCCATGCACTTGTGATTGTGCTGCAGCGGCATACGGAGATATGCTCCATCACATGCAGCAGTTTTACCTGTATTTTTTGTGACCCAGGGCCCTGTGACACGCCTTGGGCCAGCCACATGGGGGGCAAGCAACAGGGTCCCAACGGCGGAAGCTGGCGTTCTGTTGGTGGCTGGTTTTCCAAGCTGCCTCTGCCGCAGGCATATCGTAGCGCCGTCAGCACCAGACTCATATGTTTCGATTTCAGGCTCTTGATTGCCTCACGCAACGGCTTCCAGTTGTGTTTTCGCGCCAGCCACCCCGCGCCCCACTCGCGTTCAAGCCAACTCCGCGCGTTTTTTGAAATATAATCTTGGCAGCTTTCACTTGAATTCTTGAGCCAGGCAGCTCTCCACGATGCAGTCGGTATTGTCAAGCGCCACCACATGCACGACCATGGCCGCGCGGAGTTCATCTGTTTTCGTGCCTACTAGGCTCGTAGACTCTGGGCGGGCGCCCCCCTCGTTGCGCGGTGGCGCTGCGAGCAGCGGCAGCGGCAACGGCGGCACAGCGCGGTTTGCGCGCCGCCTTCGGGTTTTGCCGCGCGTCGCCAGCGTTGACAGACAGACGCTGGACCCCGTCAGTGCAGCCTGGAGCACAGACGAGCATGTGCCAGGGCAGGTGGGTGCTCTGCGCATGCGGCTAAGTTTGCGTCCTTCCTGAGCTACTGCATGATGCATGATGCGCTTATCGTGCGCTGCTGAGGTTGCACGCCCGATGCGCCAGCACACACGCACGCCGCGACCCATGTGCTTGGCAGCTCGGTTTGCAGACGCCGCAGCTCGCCGAACGCCAAGCACGCCGCTGTCTGGGCCCGGCCTGCCCACGCTCAAGCGCGGCGTGGTGGTCAGCGCCAACCGCATGCCTGCTTCTGCTCTTTCCTTGCTTTGCGCTTTCCTTGCTGCCCCCGCAGATCTGGACTGTCCACTCGCCGCAGCAGCTACAGGCAGCCCTGGAGACCCACTCGCAGCAGTTGTGCGTCCTGATGTGCAAGTCGAAAACGTGCCGTCCCTGCAAAAGTGCGCATGGGCGCGACCTGCAGCCTGGCCTGCAGCGAGCTGTCCCGCGACGCGCTGATCGGCCTGCTTAGTGCACCCGCCTTGGCCCTCCCTCATGCAAGCGATTGCCGCAGTGTACGTGTCATGTCCCATAAGGCCCAGCGCCGCAGGGCAGCCCTTCATTTTAGTGCTCGCCTCCCCCTCCTGTGCACACTTCACCCCACACCGCTGCACCTGACAGCCGACCACCCTGATTTTCGCCTCTTGACTTTTGCTCCAGTGTTCATGAAGAAGTACATGTACATCGCAGAGCAGTGGCCAGACGTGGTGCTGCTGCAGATTTTTGGGGACGAGAGCCCAGACACGCGCAAGATGATGGTCAGCATGAAGGTCAAGGTGCGTTGCCAGGAGCTTCGCATGTCTGGTTTGCAGACATTTGAGTTAACGACGAGCGGCCGCCGAGCGCTTTTGGGTGTATGTCTGTTTTGCTCGCGCACGCAGCAGTGGAGCTGCAGCAGTCGTCCTCGCGTGCGTACTCTCCTCCGCCGCTTCGTGGGCTCCCGTGTGCGCGCGTGTGCACCCATGCATACGCGCACGCACTTTGGTTGAGCGCCGGCGCACACTGGACCGTCGCTCCGGGGCGCTCCGCCGTCTGGTTTTTAGCTGTGTCCGACCGCTGCTGCCGCCTGACCTCCCGTCTCGTTGCCCTATGTGGCTGCCATGTGGCTGCCAGGTGACGCCAACCTTCACCCTGTACCGCGGCGGCAGCGCCGTGGCCACGGTGTCCGGCGTCAGCGAGGTCAAACTGCTGCGCGCGATGGTTGACCAGATGCAGCCGCGGGAGCTGGAGGGCCACGAGGAGGACCTGCTGGAGCTGGAGGTGGCGGAGGCTGAGCTGGCGGCGCAGGAGGAAGCCGAGAGGAAGCTGAAGGATGCAGCGGCACACTGAGGCTGGCGCCCCGGTTATCGGTGGCGGCGCTGCGTCGCGGCGGGCCCTGGCAGCACTGGATGTCCTCACTCGGGGAAACAGGCGATGCCATGCGGCGGGCGCGTGGGCAGCAGGCGGCTTCGCCTGCTGCTGTTGATGCACCGCGGAGTTTCGCTTCTTCCTCCTGCAGTGGCTGTTGCATAAGCTCTACGGAGGTGTCAAGGTCTGGGCGCAATTGTTTGGTCGGGCACACCCGCCACTTCTTCTCACACCAGCCTAGCCTTCTTGGGAGCTGTGGGGAGGGGCTCACTTTCTGCGAGAAGCAGTCAGATATGGGATCAACAGCCGCTCCATTGTTGCGTTCTGAAGTGCGGAGGGTGGTGCTGAGATTGTCAACACCAGCAGCAGCCCCAGTCATGGGGCGCGGTTTGGTGCTATCCTCGATGTGCCAGCCCCCTTCACCTCGTCGGCCTTGCCTGAGGGGCCGTTTGTTGGTCTGGTCAGCTCCAGCCCCCTCGGGAGCGGGGTTCGGCGAGATTGGTGGGGCACGGCATGGCGTGCGCCAGCCTCTTCTTGTGGGCCAGCACCCCTGCAGCACAGCGGCGCGCGTGCATGTGCGCATGCTTGACCTGCAGGTTCGCGTTGCCCTTGAAACACGCTTTGGTGATTTGGCAAGCAACGCGCTCTGAGCGCTGTCTGCGTCGGCCCAGTCTTTTACACAAATTGTATCATTAATGCAGCTGCCCTCGTTCCTCACTTGATCGAGCTTGGATTTTGAAGTTATCGTGTGCCACTGCGGGCCGTTGTTGGGCCGGTCGGCATCGCGACATATGCTGGGGTGACTTGAATGCGCGGCGCCATCTTGACGCACCGCGACACTCTCCTGATTCTGGGTGCTGCATCGCCTGGCATTGCGAGGTGCCCGCCAGCCGCAATCGCAGGCCAGGGGCCTGCCGGTCGCTTCGCACCCTGCTTTTGCTCTGTGTCTTCAAGGGACGTACAGGAATTCCTGGCCGCCTCACGCAGGCGTGCACTTCGCACCGTGATTTGGATAACGCGCACGCCCTCTGCAGGTCTGCCGCATGCAGTCCCCTCCCAGCAGCGCTCTTCTTCAACCTGCCTGGGCCCGAGTTTGTGCAGACAAACAGCAGTGCCTGATGGGTGCGGCTTCTGTGCCGTCACAGGAGCAGTAATCAGCCAGGCGCACATTCACTGCTTTGCAAGATGATCACGGGCTGCAGGCATCGCGTGTGGTAGCTTATGCACAAGTGTAATGCCATCCAAGATTCTCCTTGTGTTTCATGCCATGGTGGCATGTACACCGCGGGCGCAAGCTGCGCAACGACGCGGCAGCCGCCACAACTAAACACCTTCTTGGGTTCCGCGTCCTGCAACATGCCAGTGGCTGAGCTTCCGTGCAGCGCTGCACAAGAGGAGCCCATATGAGTCCTGGACTACCTTGAGAATGTGCATCACTGTTCCGCGTTCCCCAGCACATGTCGATCGTGCTGGGCCGGTCATGACCTCGTGACTGATCACTGCAAGCGGCGTGGTCGGGAGGATTACAGTTGCTGGTGTAGCCTCCAATGCATACATACGCCCTCGTATAGTCGTTTGAAAAGCTAACAAGGTTTTGTGTCCGCCTACAAGCCCATGAAAGCGTTCTGCGAGTGAATGGCGCAAATGGCAATCACCGGGATGTCTGCGCGCTCCACCCTGATCAAGGCGCGCGGGCCCTTCAGGACTCCGAGGGTTCTTTACTGCCATTATCACGCCAACAGAGCGGCCATATGGCCCGCTGGAAGACGCCCCCGTCCGGTCAGCGGCGCCATTCGCCGCGGCGACGCCAAAGAGTCTGACTCTAGCATCGCCCCGCCGGCTGGGAACGAAGCTGCTGTGCAGGCGCTAATCATATGCGCTGCAGGAGTGGCGATGGTGGGTTCCCCTGCGGCGGTTGCACCCTGCAGTTGAGATCGCTTCGTTCCGTCCACGTGCCCATGTCGGCACCAGGGCCTCGCTGGCCACGCGCACCCATGCATGCATTCTCGTGCAGCATCGGGGTGCTGCGGGCCGCCACGCATTGCCATTTACTGCCTTGACAAACATCTGTGTTGCCCACTCCCCCGCAACTGCCGCCCGCGCCGCCAGGCGGGCTCGGCGCTCGTGCTGCCCCGCGCCGCAGGCGCGAGGCCGCTGGCACCGCCGCCGGCAACGGCCGCAGAGAGGTCTGCTGACGGCCGCTCGGGCAGGTGGGCGGGCGTAAGCGGTCCTCTCTGACACCCCCTGACTTCGCCCGACTCCCTCGCCGCCCCCGCCGCCCCCCCGTCTCGCCCGCGGCGTGGAACGAGGGGCGCGGCTGCTCGCCGGCTGCTCTGGCGCACATCCAACCGTGGCCCACCCCAGAAGCCAGCAGCAGCAACCACGTACACCTGCAACTGTCGCCTCCTTTTTTGGATGTTTATTTTTTATCCATTTGAGTCGGTTTGATCTGACGGTCAAAGCTTGGTATTACCTCAGCCATTCAGCCCCCTGGCGCCCGTCCACCTGGCTCCCTCCCCGCGCCCGCTCCCGGGCCGGTCCCGCGTTCGCAGCGGTGCCCGTGTCACCCCGCCAGCGGGCCGGCTCGCGCCGCCCGGCGGCGGCCACGGGGCGGCGGCCCTGGGGCGCGCGCTGTGGGGCGCCGTGACACTGCCCGGCAGAGCCCTGGTGAGTCTGCCGGGCGCCAAAACCGAACATACCACGAACTTTGTCATTAGCTTGCTGCAACAGCTTGGAGCAACCGGCGCCTACAGCTGCACGAGCCACCACACCGCGAGCGCAGCAGGGTGCCGCCGTCATTGCGTGCACAGCGAGCGTAAGCGCCTGGCCCACGCCGTGCCTGCGACGCTGCTCCCCAAACATGCCGTCCCCTGACAGGACGCAGTGCTGTTTCCTGATGCAAACGTTTCCAGGTGGGTGCCGTGAGCGCCGGCGCTCCGGCAATTTGAAAAGCGCTGTCGCTCGCCGGAAGGCAGGTCGATGTTGCAGGTTTTTTGCCGTGCCTTGGCGCCGTATGGGCACGGCGGTGGCCGTCCCCCGCCTGCCCCACCGTCGGCCCAACCATTGTCGTACAATTCACGACGCCCCGCCCGCCACCGTTCGCCTAATCCGCACCCAGCTCCTGCAACCCCAGGCCGACCTGCGCCGGTGCAGCGACTGCACCCCCGGCCGGCGCCGGTGGCGCGGCTGCCGAGGGCCCCGCGACCGCCCCGCCGGCCGCCAGGCGCGTCCCCAAGACACGGCGCCCCAAGTCCCGCGCTGCGCGGCGGGCCGCCGC